ATTTCTAACAGCCTTCGCGCGGGGTGCACTTTGCGTCGAGCATTGTCTACTCTGGCTGGCGTCGCTGGTCGGTCATCCATTCGGAATCGAGCGGTCGCCCGTAAGGGGCTACTTGGCAGTTGCTGACCCCCCTTCTCGTTGCCGAGCGCGGGGGGGGACGGCGGCGCACCGCCCCGTCGCCCGCCGCCGCGCGCCGCGCGTCTCGACGGATCCCCAAAAACCTGGCAGGGCAAATCACGCGCGACTCTGGAAAATTCCCCGGGGGTAAAATTGAACAAATCCGGGAATATGTTTGAACATGTCTGGCCTACTTTTCGAAAAATGTCAGACCCGTTTTTGGAAATTTCCGGGGTCGATTTTGAAAATGCCGGAATCCATTTTGAAGAATGCCGGATTTCAGAATTATTCAGATCTCCTGCGCGGCGGGCGCATTCCACCCCTCAAACCTGTTTCGTAAAAGTTTCCGGGCTCCTTTTTGAAAAATTCCGGAAACGCTTGCGCGAAAAAAAGCGGAAAGATTTGCTGACGCATGCTATAATCAGGAACTAATGTCCGGGCGGTCCGACGGGCGCGGCCGGCTGATTCACGCGCCGCGCCGCGCGCGATTGGGCGCAGCGCGCGCCGCGCGTTGCGCCCGCGAACATCACTCGAAGGGGCTACCTCGAACACAGCGCCACGGCAGCTGCGACTCGCGGACCCCCCAGGAGCAACACAGCATGCAACTTGGAATCTTCGAGGGCGCTCCGATGCGCGAAAAGTGCACCGCGAACATCGCGCGAAGAACCTGCGCGACGGAACGCGCTCGACCAGTGGTCCCTGAAGCCCGCGCGGGAGAACAGGAAAACCTGGAAATGTGGAAAACTATCCATATCAATACTTCATGCTCCTCTGATCTCGGGCCCCACTCGCCGTCGAATGCCGGCGAACACCCCGGTGGGGGGGGGCGGCTGTCGCAACGGAGCAGAGGGCAGCACGGCCGGCTTCTACACCAAGATGGACGAGGCAAAGAGGTACTCCGGCCGAAGACCCGACTGCTCGGTGGAAACAGGTGACGATCGAAGACTTGTCGCCGAGCCGGGTAGCCTTGTAGACCTGCTCGTGGCGTTCACAGAGGCAGAACGTGGCGTTCTTGCCGTCGACGGGGGGGGGGGGGGGGTAGGTCCGAGGCTCGTCCGTCCTCGCAGAGCAGAATCATGGGGGTCGCGTCGGCAGCGTCGCGGCACCCACCTGGGGCCACGGGCCTCATCGCGCCCTTGATGAGGACGCCCACCTTGACGGCCTCGCAGGGGCGCTCCTCGATCTCGACATCAGACTCGGATTCCTGATCCAGGAATTCTGCCACTCCTCCAGCTACGCCTGGCTCCGCTGCGCCTGCCGATTCACGGCGGCGGCGTCGCCGGCGGCTGCAGCGCCCGCAGCAGCAGGCCAAATAAAAGAAGTACATCACGCAGGCGACGAACATGCGGACTCCACTGGCGAGGGTCCGCCCTGCGAGGACGCAGAAGCGGCAGGGGGTCAGTCGAGCGCGCGCGCCGATGTCGACGATGGCCGCCGAGTCGAGGGCCGCGCACTCCACGCAGTGGAGCGCCTTCTCGCCCTGGGGCTGGCAGTCCCCGCGGCATAAGTGCACCCACTTCCCCTGCTCGAGCTTCTGCCTGGAGGCCCTGCTGCTCGCTCCCTTGATCTTGTTGTACTGGACCCAGAGCCCCTTCTTGCCGACCCGTTCCGGTTCGTCGAAGATGAGTCCAATCCGCGCCACGTGCCCGTCTAGTTTCACGAGGAGGTCGCTCGGCTTCCTGCCGGTCCCACGTGCACGTACGGTCCTCTGGCAGAAGGAGGTCGTCGTGTTGGGGCCCGTGGCGGGCACGGCCCAGACGACCGCGATGGGCTGTGGCGGCGCCGGCAGCAGAAGGCGATCGACCTCTGCTTCGCCAGGCGGCTTGCGCGCGCAGCAGCAGCAGCACGCACGGCAGAAGCCGGCGGCTGCTCCGATGACCCAGCACACCCAGGCGCACGGCGCGAAGATGGTCCGCAGGCTGTGCGCCGCCAGGGCGAGCATGCCGGTGCAGCACAGGGTGACGAGGGTCCAGCCGACGATGGGCCAGGCCGCGCCGAACAGGCGCACGCCACAGCTGTCAGCCAGGTGCAGGACCAAGCCGCCGTCGGAACGCAGCCAGCCGGTATCCTGTTGGGTCGAGAAGGCGCCTTTGAGGTTCTCAAACGAGTGTGCCCAGCCCCCCATCCCTTCGGCCTTCCAGGACCAGGTGTGGTTCCCCAGGTTCTCCCAGCTGAGATAGCCCAGGCCCAGGCCCCAGCCCCCAATCCAGGAGGTGTCTGAAGTGCCGTTGGGGGAGGGAGGCTGGGTGGCGTCCTTCCTGGGCGGGGCGGCCGGCGGCACAGGGGGGACGCCAGGCGGATCAACCCCCGCCGGCGGCAACCCATGCTCGCCTATCATCGGGTTCCCGCGATACCCCTTCCGCAACTGGGGGTCCTGGTCCTCGTCGTCGTAGTACGACGGGCCGTAGTCCCCAGTGTCTGTGGGGTGGGCCAACCCGCGGCCGTGGCCAGCAGCGCGGCGGCCCGCAGCAGCGCGCGGCTGGGGGTCCCCGGCGCCGCACGCCGCTGACCCCCTCCACGCACGCGCCTGGCCACGGCCGGCAGCGGCAGCCCACCCGCCCCCTAGCCGAGGGGCGCCCCGCGCAGCGACATGGCGCAGCCGCGCTCGGGCGTTCCCGGGTCACCCCGGGATCTTCCGGGCTCCCGGAATGGGCCTCCGGGACGCCCTGGCCTCTGGGCAACCTGAGGCCGGCCCCCAGCTTGACCCAGAAAGCTTGAGCGGGGACGAGCAAGAGGGGGGAAAGCAAAGAGGAAGGGAAAAGGACAGGGGAAACAGCCCCCGCATTCCTGGGGTCAGGGAGAGTCTAGCATTTGACCAAACAACTAACGTAGCGCAGCAGAGCATAACACAGCATATCATAGCATAGCATAGCACAGCGCAGCATAGCATATCATATAATAGCATAGCATAGCATAGCGCAGCATAGCACAGCATTGCATAGCGCAGCATAGCATATCATAGCATAGCACAGCGCAGCATAGCACAGCATAGCATAGCCTAGCGTAACACAGCGCAGCCGAGCGTACCCTAGCATATCATAGCATAACATAGCGCAGCATAACGCAGCATAGCATAGCAAACCATAGCATAGCATATCATAGCATAGTATAGCATGGCATAACATATCATAGCATAGTATAGCATAGCAGCAAAGCAAAGGCAAAGCAACAGCAGCAACAGCAAAGCAAAACACAAGCAACGCAAAGCCGGACCTGCAGTGCAAAGCAGGTGTAGATGTAAATGTAGCTGTCGGTGTAGATGTAGATGTTGCTTCCCTAAATGCTCCAACTCCTAGGTAGGGTCGCACTGGGAGGATTTTTGTTTTTGTTTGGGGGGGAGTGCACACTCGGCCGAACCAGTTAAATGGAGACACACCTTAGCCCCGCCGCGCTTCCTTCTCGGTTATCCAAGCTCTTAAAGCTCTTAGCGCAGCCAGGCGCTCCTGTGGGGCGGCTCCAGCAGACGGCTACTGCGGCTGCGCAGCGGCGGCATACGCACGAACTGTTGGGGCAGAAAGGGGGGCCTCAGGCTACGCACAAACTCACATGCAAATCTCTGGCAGGGTTGAACGCTTGCTCCACCTCCCTCCTCCTCCTCCTCCTCCTCTCCTCCTCCTCCTCCTCCTCCTCCTCCTCCTCCTCCTCCTCTCTCCCTCCTCCTCCTCCTCCTCCTCCTCCTCCCCCTCCCCTCCCCCTCCCCCTCCCCCCCTCCCCCCTCCTCCTCGCCTCCTCCTCCTCATCATCTTCCACGGCCTCCGTCTCCGCCCACTTCGTCGCCGACGTCGTGTCGTGGTCCTCTTCAGGGTCGGCGGCACCGGCCGTCAGGCCTTCGCAGTCTCTGGCAGGGTTGAACGCTTGGCCGCAACGTGCCAGGTCGCCTCAAGAAAGAAGAGGCCATCTCGTCGAGAGAGAAAAGGGGCCTGAGGCGGGTCGGGAAAGCGAAAGCGGCTCATCTCTGATCCCGCCACGTGGTGGCGTGGGGGGGTGCTCTCGCCCCACAGTCCCGCAATGAATCGAGAGAAGCCTGCACGCTGGAGGAGCCTCCCGCCCACGCCCCGCAAGGAAGCAGAGAACGGTCAGGCATGGCTTCCTCGCCAAAAGCTCGACCCGCTGCCATAGGGGACCGAGGGGCAACGCTAGGGGGGACAGGCTCAAGGGCGGACGCATCGACCCCCAGTCGCCCTCTGGTCGCCGACGGGGACCCGATAGCCGACAGCCCACCCCGCCCAGGAACGTGCGGATTTGCCACCGGTGGCCTACATCGCCGACCTGTTGGCGATGCATCGCCGATCCCAAGTCGATGTTGCCCCCCAGAGCCAATCTCCCCCCTGACCTGACGTTGCCCCGAGGAACGCTGAGTAAGAAACGAAAGGGCTTTTCTGATCGCGGCGGGCCTCGGCGACGAAGAGGCTCCCAGGCCCGACAATCTGCGGAGCGGCCCGAACATGAGAGCCCCTCGTGAGACCGAAGAGGTCCCTGGTTTCGGCGTCTTGACTGTAGTAAAGGAGGCTAGCCCGCCTCACAGGCCGCGAGAGGAGATTGGGAGGGCACGATTTGTCCGCTGTCGTCCTCGCTTGCATCTGCATGACCATGTCAAGCATCGCTGCACACTTAGCGGTCGGTGGCCGCAGCCGCCAAGGGGCGTAACGCGTCTCATTGGAACAAGCCCCGGAGACCGAAGCACGGGGGTACTCACTGAGAATCGCGTGAGCGAACCAGCTCACGCGGCCGGCTTGTCCATCGCCTCCTGGCGCTGGAGAGGCGCCCGCGCATCGAGGAAGGCGCCAGGGCGGCGGAGCCGAAGCACGGTGCAGGCAGCAGATCTCGTGCGTACACCCCCATTGCCTTTCCATGCCCCCCCTCCTTTCGTGAGCCGACCCGACCTGCCGGTGGAACTGCTGGAACAGAACGATGATGCCCGACCAGTACTCCGTCCAGGCCGCGTGGGCCTCCAGGAGGTGCGAGCACGGGCCCTCCAGGGCGGCCACGTCCCAGAGGGCGAAGAGGACCTCGAGCCCCATGATGCCCGCAGCGAAGTGGTCGATGCGCGACAGGTACTGGTGCTGGAAGCCGGAGTTGGGATGGCCCGCCACGTGCCTGAAGCCGAGCGCCAGCGCCATCCACGCGGACGGCGCCCAGTAGCGAGGGTCGCCCGCCAGGTTGGAGCTGCGCCACCGCTGGGGCCACGTGGACGAGCGCACCGCGAGCCCGAAATCGATGAGGCCGAAGCTGGGCGCGGCGGCGCCCTCCGGGAAGTCCACGAGCACGTTGTGCGCGGACACATCGCGGTGGAACGCGATGGACTCCTGAGCATCGTTTAACCGATCCATCTCCCCACCGGCGTGGCCTGGGCCCCACTGGCCGATCTATAGCCCCCTAGGCCCTAGAGGGGCATAGAGGCTGCTCCGTTCGGCTTTTGAGGGGCACACCCCAAGACGGGGTGGTCGGATAGTGGGGACCGGGATGGAGACGGGGAGAAGGATCGGTGAAACGATGCTGAACTCCAGGGCGCTGAACACCGGCGCGAGCTGCGTGAGCATCTCCCGCGCGACGGCACACGCACCCCCGAGCGACCACCGCCCCTGTTGGCCGCCGGGCAGCCGGCCACCCACGAGCTCGCCCACGTTGCGCGTCTTGTGCTCCTCGTCGCTGACGCCGTACAGCCAGAGGTCGAGGGCGCGCCCGCGCAGGTGCGACATCGCCAGGTGCACGCTGCCGCCGCCGCTCCCGCCGTCCTGGGGCAGACCACAGAGGCAACGATACCACCACTCCCCGGGCCTCTCCCGGGGCGCGTTCTGGTCAGGGTGTCGAGGCGGATCCAGCCCTGGCGACGAAGGCCTCCCAGGAGACCCCAAGAGGCGAAAACGATGGAAGGGCATTATGGCATGGGCATACCCTCTTCCCTCCTCTGAGGTCCTTCGCGTGCACGGAGTGCGCCACGTACTGTGGCACATGGCGGCGCAGGTGGGCGCAGGCGGCCTCCAGGACCTGCAACAGCTCGGCCTCGAAGGTGGCCGCCGCGAAGGAGGCGGCGTCCTCGGTGCTCGTGACCTTGACCGCGCACTCCTCGCGGCCGCCCTCGCGGCGCGCGCGCCACACGGTGCCGAAGGCCCCTCTGCCGATGAGGTCGAGGACCTGGAACCTGGAGCCGCCCACGCGCAGCTCGCTGGGGCCCAGGGCAGGCCCCTCCTCTGCCGGCGCCTGCGCGGCAGCGGCCGAGGTGGCCCGGACTGCCGCCGCGGGCGCCGCCGACGGGGTGCGGCCAGCGCCGCACTGGGGCGAGCTGGGGCAGGCCCCGCCAGGCGACGCCGGTGCCGCGCGCCGGCCGAGCCTGCCTTCCTGGGCGGCGGCGGAAGGTGCGCGGTCCTGCGGGCTCGTGATGACTGGCGGGGCGCGGCGGGGGGCCGGGTCGAAGCTGGAGCACCTGCGAGACGCCGAGCGGCTCAGCGCCGCGTTCCCCTGAGGCGCCTCTTGGAGGCCGAAGCGCTGGAGGACGTCCTTCCGGTCCTGACGGTACAGCAGGAAGCTGGAGTCGACCGAGGCCGAGAACACCACGCAGAGACCCTCTCGGCACTCCAGCAGCCCCCTGTTCAGGTGCTCCACTGCGCTCGAGACCGAGCTCACGATGCTCGCCTCGATCCTTGGCACGTGCTGCACGAGGCCATGGAGTTCATCCGTGGGACTCAGGCGCCGCGTCTGGTCCATGGACCAGGCCACCCCGCCACCCACCTGAAGGACGAAAAGGAAGGGGGTAACCCCATGTCAGCGACGAAAAGGAAGGGGTCCTACGCGAGGTGGCATAGCGACCTTACACGGTGACTTATGCGGGCCGCCATCGTGGCACGTCAAATTGGAAACGAGGGCGTTTACGCGCGACCTTGCGCGGTCAACTTACGCGCGAAAGTCGGCGCAATTGAATCCATCTTTCTGCGTCGCTCATGTGAACCGACCCCTGCAGGTCAGATTTCTGACGCGCTGGCTGGAGTTGAGAACTCGAGGGCTATTTGCATCCCAAGTGAACCCCAGCGGGAGTGTCGGAGAACGACTCGAGTCCCAAAACCGCTTGGTGGCCCCGAATCCCCACTGGCACACCAAGCGGTGTGGTCACCACGCCGTGCGCCGATGGGACCCGCATGGGATGCACCGGCGACACATCGCCGATGCATCGGCGATGCATCCGCGACGTCGGCCATACATTGGCAACGTTGACGTGGAGCAAAGCGGGCTCGACATCGAGCCGCATCGGCGATGCGGCGCGATCCTCCGACTCCCCTCGACCTGCACCTTCCGCACCTTCCGCGCGGCAGGCGCCGCGCTGCCGTGGCCGCCGCCGCGGCCGCAGCGGCGGCGGCACCTTCCGCGCGGAGGGTGCGGAAGGTGCAGGTCGAGGCATCCACTCGGACCCCCTCCGGGAGGCTACCGGACACGGGACACCTCCAGGCCCTGCGCGCCCCCAGGCCCGAGCGACTGGTAGCCGCAGGGCCGTGGCCCGGCCAGCAGGGCGGCGGGCGCGCCAGGCGCCGGAGCCATGGGCCGCGCGGCGCTGGCGGCCGAGGCGTCGCTGCCCAGGGATGTGGAGGCCAGGGACGAGGCTGCCGCGAGGCGACGGGGCCCTTGGCCTCGGCGAGGCCCTCGCCCCCCGGGCCAGGTGTTCGTCCCCCAGACCCCCCTCGGGTCACGGAAAAAAATACGGTCAGCCCGCAGAGTAAGGAGGCGCGATAAGGATGCAAGGCCCTTGGACGCCCATCTCGAAGCGTCTCGAGCGGGGCGCGGAGAAAACGAAAGTGTCCAAGGAGGGACCCAGGAAGCAAGGATGCAAGGGTACCCTTGGAAGGGATGCCTGTCCTTACTCTGCGGGTCGACTGTACGTGGCAAATCTTGCAATTCCGTTGTACAGGCCCTGTACACATGGTTCCCCGACAAGGGGGCCCAGGGTTTTTCTAAACGGCCCCGGGCGCGGCCCTAAGGCCCTTGAGTCCCTTGAGTTCGGATCTCCTGATCTTGAGATCTTTGGATCTCTACGTTGCTTGCAGGCTCAGGCAGGCTCCGATCTATTCAAGTGTTACCATGACCCGAGCCTCTCTCTCGCACGCTCTCTCACGCATTTCGCACCCCATGCGGATCTCGGCTGAACCTCAGCGAAAGGGTGACGCCAGGAAGGAGGAGGAGGAGGAGGAGGACGCGGAGGGGGGGGAGGAGGGAGGAGGGAAAAGGAAGGAGGGAGGAAGGAGGAAGAAGAGCAAGAGGAGGAGGAAGAGGAAGAGGAGGATCGAGTGGACAGAGGAGGGAAAGTGGATGGAGGTGGCAAGCGAGGGGGGAAGCGGGGAGGCGGAGCAGAAAGCTGAACGATACTCGACAATGGGGGTGCGTAGGGTTTCCGCGCCTGGAGATTCCCGAGGGGCCAGGACGCCGCCTCGGCGCCTCGGAGTTTATGAGAGTCCTCTACATTATCTTTCTCTCCTCCTCCTCCTCCTCCTCCTCCTCCTCCTCCTCCTCCGCCTCCTCCTCCTCCTCCTCCTCCACTCCTCTCCCCTCTTTTCTCTTTCCCTTCCTCCTCCTCCTCCTCCTCCTCCTCCTCCTCCTCCACCTCCCACCTCCTCCTCCTCCTCCTCCTACCTCCTCCTCCTCCTCCTCCTCCTCCTCCTCCTCCTCCTCCTCCTCCTCCTCCTCCTCCCCCTCTTCACTCATCATCGTCCTGTTCTTTCTCTTTCTCGTGCTCCTTCCCTGCCTCTGCAGTGCTGGTCTTCTGCTCTGGACCCGTGTGTGGAGGGGGGGAAGACAGGAAGACATGGACGAGGAGGATGGGAATAATGAGGAATGATTGTGTCAGCGAGCTCGGCGAGCTCATCGCCTGGATGCTGGCCGCCTGTCTCCTGCGTGCCTAGGCGGCGCCAGCAACCAAGATGTCCAGGGCGGCCTGCACGCGATCGTTCTTCAGGCTGGGCACCCCGATGGGCCTGCCGCTGGACGAGCAGCAACTTCCTGATGCCAACGCACCTCGGCCCCGTGGGAGTGCATGAGCTGCACGCAAACCACCCTGGCGGCGTGACCACGAACTCGCCTGCGTTGACCGTCGTCCAGCAGCAGCCGATATCCTTCTTCTCGCACCACTCCTTCGCTGTGCTCGTGCCGACGCTCTTCAGCATCGCGGACGCCTGCTCGATGAAACTTGCCCCCTGAACGGGCTGCCCAATCTTGCTCTTCAGGTCGGCACCCTTGAAGTATATCACCTTCATGCTGCCCTCGTAGAAGTACTTGGCACTTCCCATCAGATCTGACTCGAAGCCCATGTCCACGCAGGTTGGGAGAAGCCCGAAAAAAAAAACAAATCCTCTCCGATGCTGCATTCACCACCGGGTGCTTGGTCACATCTGCAAGCTTGGACTTGGGTGCGACTACCTCGAAGATGAGCGTGACGTCTGCTAGGCCATGCGACTCTTGCATGGGAGCCGTAGCTTTGTCACCCCTCTGGCTCGCTGCGGCAGGGAACTTCTCGGAGTACCTGTTGCGGCCCGTCTTGACGTCTTATCTTGCGAGTGCTGCAACCGCAGTGGCCGACGCCTTCAGCTTGAAGGGGCTGTCCATGATGTCCGCGCTGGTCTGCAGCGCCTCCTTGAGCTTCTCCTCGTTGTCGCAAGTGACCACCTCTGGGCAGCCGACAGAAGACCAGTCGATTGCGAACACGCCAGACGAGAGATTCCTCTTGGAGCTCCCATTGATTGCATCCGCGAATCTGCCCTCTTCCCCCCCTTGCCCCTTCTCTCCATCTCCCTCGCGGGGTTACGGGTTGAAGAGGACGGGAAGGGAGAGGCCAGATTGATGAATGCATTTGGGAGCTCCGATCCTCTGCGTGGTGATCTGCTTCCTCAACGCTGCCGCAGCTGCTGAAGCCGCAGCAACCGCCGCCTCTCGTGCTTTTGATTCATCTGCTTGTTGTCTGGCAGCAATCTTCTTCATGTGGTTGGCGTTCGAGGTCTTGGCAGCCTTGGCGATGGTGATGATGCAGTTGCGGAGCTGCTCCATGTTGGATTTGAAGTCCTCCATCGCTGATTCGGCATCCTCGATCTCCTTTGGTGTAGTAGCTGACCGGATGCTCTGGCACCGCTCGTTCATGCGTTTCATCCGAACGATCTTCGAGGCGTCGTCAACGGACAACACGCAAGCTGAGGCGAGCATGTTCTTCAGGATGTAGTCGCAGAACGCACCCTCGCTGTTGAGGTGCTCGGGGAAGTCCATCTCCTCGTGACCCCCCGTCTTCTTGAACTGGCCCTTCATCTTCTCCAGCAACTCTGTCACGCTGCACTCGCTCTCTGCGATGCTGCCGCTGGTAGAATCGTACTCGATCTTTTTGTCAAGGACGCGACATCCGAGATCAAACCGTTCCTGCAACATCATCTTCCCCTCGGCACTAGCATTTGGGCACGTCGCAATCGTCTTGCAGGCAACTGTCAATGCCTTCATCAGCTTGGACTCCTCGGAACTTAACGTTTCCTCTGTGTCTCAGCGATCGTCAGCCTCGTAACACCCACGTCGAACTTGACATTGTCCTGCCCCTTCTGCTTCTTCGCGAACGGCTGCGTGGATGCTTCATCTGCTGGATCTTTGGCTGCTGCGTCGCCAGCGCCTTCGGCACCTGCTGAGGGCTTGGACGCCCCGTGCTTGACCATGATCTCGGCTGCGAGCTTACCAGCATCACCTGCATTGATAGCCCGACTCGATGGCGCATGCACTGCGCTGATGGTGCTGGCATGCGCCAGTGAATCAAAGCCTCTCTGACATCCTTGACTGCGCTGGCGACGGCTTCATCAGTCATGGCCTTGCCCTTCGCCGACTTGGTGATCATCTCCTGCGCGTGGAAGTTCGTCGTCTTCTGCTCGAGCTTGTCTTCGCCCACCATCCACGCTGGAACAGGAAGGCGAAGTGGGCTTTCAGGAGGCCCGCGCATGTCCTTCTGGTCGTCAGGCGTGTCCATCTCGAGCGCTGCCCACTCATTGTTGCAACGAGCCTCCGTCCAAGGCCGGAGCACCTGCATCTTCCTCACGAAAAACTCATTGCCCCACTTGGGCCTGGCTGCGATGTCAGAGTTCTCCCTCTGAGTGCCCTTGCGACTGATGTAGTTGGACAACCTGACGTCGCTACCACGCGACTTGGTAGACCTGCTGCTTTGGGCGTCTTCTATGTCTGGGTGCTTGGCGAAAATGTCGGCCATCACCTCGTCAGCTAGCTCCCAATCTGCATCATGCGGCTCACCGCCCTTCCTGCCTGGCTTGTAGCCGAAGGTCTTCTTGAAGGACCTGGACTCCTCGTTCTCCGTCTCGGGCTTGGCGTGATTCACTCCCTTGAACGCGCGCCGCTCCAAGCACTCGTGGACGCGATGGTGTTTTTTTGCAGAACTTCCTGTTTCCATCAATCTCGTCTGAGCAGGAAGGAAGCGGGCACGGCTTGCCACTCGACCTGCGCCTTGGCTGCTTCGGTGGCTCGCCCGCGGCTGCGTCTGGCCCCGCTGCCCTCTTTCTGATGCTGTTGCCTCTGAGGGCGGCGATAGCGGCGCGGGCACCGCCAGCAATCTCCCCCCCCACTCGAACTCGCTGAAGCCGAACTCGTCATCGAACGAGGCGCTGCCCTTGCCAGCGCTGCTGACAGCATATTTGCTGCTTGAAGCATCCATCAGCTCGGACATGACTGAACCTTGAGTGCCTTTCTCA